ACCTTTGTTGGCAAAGTGATGTCTCTGCTTTTTAATATGCTGTCTAGGTTGGTCATAGCTTTTCTTCCAAGGAGCAAGTGTCTTTTAATTTTGTAGCTGCAGTTATCATCCACAGTGATTTTTGAGCCCAAGAAAATAAAATCTGTCACTGTTACCACTTTTTCCCAATCTGTTTGCCAGGAAGTGATAGGACTGGATGCCATGATCTTAGTTTTTTGAATGCTGAGTTTTAAACCAGCTTTTTCACTCTCCTCATTCACCCTTATGAAGAGTCTCTTTAGTTCCTCTTTGTTTTTTGCCATGAGAGTGGTATAATCTTCATATCTGAAGTTGTTGATATTTCTCCTGGCAATCTTGATTCCAGCTTGTGAGTCATCTAACCCAGCATTTTGCATTACATACTCTTCATATTGGGGGAAATGGCAAGCTTGAATATCGACATTTTAGGAATCAGTGAACTAAAATGGACAGGAATGAGCAAATTTAATTCAGATGACCATTTTATCTACTACTGTGGGAAAGGTTCCTTAGAAAAAGTGGAGTAGCCCTCATAGTAAACAGAAGAGTCTGAAATTCAGTACCTGGGTGCAATCTCAAAAACGACCAAATCAGTTCATCTCCAAGGTAAACCATTCAACACCACAGTAACCCAAGTCTATATACTCCAACCACTGATACTGAAGAAGCTGAAGTTACCAGTTCTATGAAAACCTACGAGACCTTCTAGAGTTAACACCCCCCAAAATGTCCTTTCTATCAGAGGGGATTGGAATGCAAATAAAGGAAGTCAAGAGATACCTGGAGTAACAGGCTAAGTTTGGCCTTCGGGTACAAAATCAAGCAAGGCTAGGACTAACAGTTCTGTCAAGAGAACACACTGGTCATAGCAAACACCTTTTCCCAACATTGAAATAGAAACAGATAAAACAATAAACATATTAACAATAAGATAATTTGCACTTATGACAAGGGCTGCAAAAGATAATTTAAGAACCTTTGTGATAAAGACTTTGAGATAGAAGTGTTCTTTGATAGAGTAATCAGTAATTATGTTTCATAGAAGATAATATGTGAGCTGAAGCATACATTTTAAGTAGAAGTTTCCTGTGTAGCTACTTGCAAAGAGTTCTGCAGGCAAAGAAAACAGCAAGTGTAAAGGGTCCTAGATGAGAATGAACTTGAAACGTTTGATGGACTATAAACAAAAGACATTGTGACAAGCAGGATATCCTTAAAGACTTTGCATTTTATTATCAGGTGGCAGAGGAAATGGGAAATGTGGTTTGGTGTAGGAAGAAGATCAAGGGCAAAAATAAGGCAGAATCTCACAGGGGATATGTTGTAAGATCTAGGGCAAACTATACTTTGTATAAGTCACATCATATTTCATTAGGTGACATCCTGTTCCAGTGAACTTTAAAGTGAACAGTGGCTTTACCTGCAATTTTAAAACAGACAAAAGCTAGCAGTATAAATCAAAATGTAATGACATTGTGGTGTAAAATCATTGTCTTGGCCTTGCTCATGGATGGGCCAAGCCAAACCCGAGTAGCATCAATTACAGGCTTTATTTAGTTAGAGGGATTAACTGGAAAGATGTGAGCTTTTTTTTTGGTAGAAAGATGAACAAATTAGGGAAGCATTGTTCACAGAAATCTGTGGTCTCTGGCAGGTAAAATCTACAGTGTAATGAAGGAGTGAATCCAGAATCTAATATAGGAGGCCAATTCACAAGCTTGTGATTCAAAAAAAGAAAGGAAGTAAAAAACGATGATATTAAGAATAGGTTGAAACATAAGAGGAAAGACAGCTTACTATAATGGCTATGAAAGGTGAGGATTTGGAGGTCACACCTGTGTATTGTTGATTCTGCTCTCCAAGTTGACCCTGAAAATGTCAGGAGGCCTGGATGAGCAGATGAAATGATTTCACCCATGTTCAAATGTATCGATTGCTCCACTGGGAATTTTGTCTTGCCTAAAGAATGTTTACTTAAAATGAAGTGTTAGCTTGATGCCATTCATTGTTTACTTTTGACATCTGTTTAGCTGTTGCTCAGGAATTTGTGTTATGTCAACATATACATATATATTTTGTGCCTGTCGTAGATCTAACTTTTATATATATACTTTGTTGAGAGGAGCCGTGACATGAATGCAGTGAATCAAATAACTATCAAATAATTCCTGCATTATCTGAGCATTGAAAAATCTACATTTCAAAGCCATGTTAACTTTGAGTCCTGGCCAAGACCTGCCTGATATTGTCACATTAGCTCTATTTGCATTATCTAACTATATTATGAGAAACAGAAAACATACTCAAATTGTTCAGTGGAACCTGGAACTTCTCACTCCAGAGAACAGCATTCACACTTATTCTGCAGTAATAGAAGGTTAGGACCATCCAAGATTATAACAAAGACTCAATAGGAAGGGTAATCTGAATCATTACTTCATTTCTTTTTATTGAGATAGCTTCTTTCCCTGACAAAAAAGAAATAACATTTTCAACTAAGTATTTATTAAAAAAATTTTTGTGTGTGTCCTTTCTCATGTGTCAGGGATTGTGTTAGGTGCTAGCTATACAGTTCTGAACAAAACAGACAACTTATACATATATATATATATTAATAAATTAAAATTAGTGATAAATTATATAAAGAAAACAAACATAACCAGCCATAGCAAGCATCTAGCTACTCAGGCAAACAAATAAAAGGGACCATTTTGAGTATAAGTTTATTATTCAACCTAACTCCCTACTGTCCAGTTAACAAAGCCCCTCCATCCTATTTCTTATCAGACTTTTATTTTGTTCTTATCAGATTTTTATGAACTGTGACAGGGCAAGGTTAATGTGAAGGAAATACATGTATGTCCTGTTTCTTATATATTTCCAGTTGCTGCTCTTACTGTTGCCTTTTTTAAAAATTTTGTGATATGACCAAAAAGAAAGATTTCTTAAATTGCTATTCTAGCAATGTATACTCTCATCTTAAAGATAAATCTCATACCACATATTAGTAGGAAACACAGAGAACATTGGAAAAAATCAAAGCCATAGTCACTCTCAAGAAATTGACCACAGAGGCTGTATAGGAGACAATAGGTAGGAGGGGATGCTATCTGTAGGTGTATTCCTGACATCATATACAAAAGGCAGTAGTTTTGTTGGGAGTAAACTACTGTGACAGGAGAAGACAACAGACTTTTCTGCTTCATTGATCCATTGATCCATTGGATCCATTGATGCAAACATGGAGCTACACAAAAAGGGTAAACGCCAATTGTGTCAGTTCGTCCAGGGATATGACTCCAGCAACTATTCTCTTTTCTTCTTCTCTCTTGCCCCAGAGGCCACATTTCACATCTTGAAGTGGATATATGTATGTTATTGTCTTACTAGGGTCTATATGCTCTCCCCCAGTTACCCCTGTGTTACCTTGAGATTTCCTCAAGGTTATGTGTCTCTCTATTTTGGTACCTGGGGATGTCTTTGTCATTGGTACTCAACTTTACATCATTTTAAAACCATGTAAGCAATTTAAAATATTTTTAGCAGTGGGATCTGGAGGTTGGATGGCAGTTGGAGATGGTTGTCTCTATATAGTTCAGTCTACCCTGAAATGTAAACCTAAAGAAAAAGTAGTTCTGCAATAAATGCTGAAATGCATGTGGAGAGAAAGGAACCCTCCTACACTGTTAATGGGAATGTAAATTGGTACAAACACTGTGGAGAACAGTATGGAGTTTCCTTAAAAACTAAATATAGAACTACCATATGATCCAGCAATCCCACTCCTAGGCACATATCCTGAGAAAACCATAATTCAAAAAGGTGCATGCACCTTAGTGTTCATTGCAGCACTACTTAAAATAGCCAAGACATGGAAGCATCCTAAATGCCCATTGATAAAGGAATGGATAAAGAAGATGTGGTACATATATACAGCAAAATAATACTTGGCCATAAAGAAAAGTGAAATAATGCCCTTTGCAGCAACATGGATGTACCTCGAGATTATCATGCCAAGTGAAGGAAATCAGACAGAGGGATACAAATATCATATGATAGAACTTGTAGAATATAAAAATGATACAAATAAACGTATTTAAAAAAATAGAAATAGACTCACAGGCTTAGAAAATTATGGTTACCTAAGGGGAAAGGTGGAGTAAACTAGGACTTTGAAATGAGCATATACACACTGCTGTTATATGAATGAGATAACTACTAAGGCCCTACTATATAGCGCCAAGAATTCTACTCAATATACTGCAATAACTTATATGGGAAAAGAATTTGAAAATGAAGGGGTATATGTATAACTGAATCACTTTGTTGTATACCTAAAAATAACACAACATTGTAAACCAAAATATATTCCAACATGAAATAAAAATTTAAAAAGAAGAAAACAGTCTAGAACCTGAAATTTTGTTGCATTCATAGTAAAACAGAAATAATAATGCCAATTTCACAGATGTCTGATTATCATTTACAATCACATTCTGAATAATTCCTACTACTTAACAGGACCCAAGGAAATAAGAGTTTTATCATTAATTGAGTGAAGATACAGACTGATTTGAGAAACACAGAAAAGCCTTCATCACAAGAGGAGTGATTTGTAATAAAGGAGGTTTATGATAAAAGAAAGATGGCAGATGCTAAAAGGATCCATTTAGAGTGACTCTAGAGTATGTTTCCTTGCCAGCAAGGTATCATGATTGAAATCATGTCAATTCAAGGGGAAAAAATGTAAGCTATGTCTCTGAATTCCAGTGATCAAAATATATCATGAAACACATTAGTTCCTAAAAAACAGAGTGAGTGTGCATTACATGGCATGTTATCATGGAATTTATGTTGGGCAATTATGTATTAAAACTAATATGCATTTGGGGGAATATAGGCTAGAAGGAAAGGGAGAATCTAGTTAGGTGAATGATGACCAGAACCACATGTAAAAATTGTGATCTCTCTTGTTTTTATAGGAGTCACAGCTGAAAGCAATGAAAGAGACTGTACAACTCTGCCTCTCAACTGTTTTCCGTGATCAGCAGCTTCCCCATTTGAATCCCTTCAGGCCATATGGAACTCAGATATCGGTCCCAACCATGATAACTGACTCTAGGACTGCATATGTAAGCACAACAGCCAAGGTACACTTTATTTGTGCTTTGAAATCTAAAATCAAATAATGTACTTTCTTGACTTCGATCTCTATTATCATCAAAGTGAATCCAAGTAAGATAGCAAATTCATTGAAAAATCAGGAAGTAAATGAGAGATAGTAACCCAGTTTGTAAAGTTTTCATAGTCACTTGGAGAATACTGGAAAACAAATTTTCTTTATAAGAGAACAGGGTGTTTCTTAGGCAGAATTATTATTATCATCACTATTTTACAATATTATAAGAAAATATATTATATCCCAGTTTACACCAGGGGTTTATTAAGGAAAATACTTTCTTCTAGGGTATAACCACCATCCTTACAAAAGTGGATACATTTTTCAGAAATTAAGTCTGTAGTTCTCAACACTGTGACTGTACATTAGAATCATTTGGGATAGTTATTTAAAAAAAAAAAAGTCTTAATACTTGGGACAAACCTCAGACAAATTCTTCCTGGTTTGGCTCCAGTCATCATTAGTTTTTAAGAGCTCCCTAGGGGATTAAGAGGGCTTCCCTGTGGCTTGACGGTAAAAAATCCACCTGTCAATGCAGGAGACATAAGTTCCATCCCTGGGTTAGGATGATCCCCTAGAGAAGGAAATAGAAAATAGAAACCCACTCCAGTATGCTTGCCTGGAAAATCCCATGGACAGAGTAGCCTGGTAGCCTATAGTCCATGGGGTTGCAAAAGATTTGGATATGACTTAGCAACTACTTAAGCAAATCCCTGCCATCACTCTATACAGGACAAAGAGGGCGTTTCAGTTCCACTTTTGTTTCAATCATCAGAACCTTCAGTTTGCAAGCTCTTCTTTTAAATAAGTATTGACAATCTGAAATCATTATTAAAGAAAGGAGTTTAGTTTCAGGCAGTATACTTGAAGATGCAATTCTTTTATCACTTGCCTCAAGATCACTTGCTGTTGAAATAAATGCTATAGACAGGAGTCCAACTTCTAAAGCAAATCCGTGGTGGGCTAGAGGAAGTTGGACAAAAAACCCTGAGGACCACTGTTACAAATACCTACCAATTCATTACATCTGGGGATGTGGCCAATCTGTAGATGAGGGAAATGCCATTTTCAGGATGAAGAGTCCAAATTAAGTAAAACAAAATAAATTTACTGTTCTGTTTTTCTCCTGTAACTGGTTGATTTCTCAAAAACATATTAATCTGTGTAACCTTCTTTTTCTGTCAAAATCATTTGAAATAAGTATTTCCATTTTATATTATCGTCTTTGTTTTTATTATGTAATGAAGGATCTCAAAAAATTTAGGCTAATAATTTTCTCCTTTACATCTCTCTGATCCTCCTTTGAAAACAGTGTTTGTTTTTTTTAATTCAATCAAACTCAGGGAAGAAAGTTGCATAATAATATATTTTTATGTTTAAAGAAATTCCTGGTAAATTTATTGAAACAGATTATTGGTTAAGTATACAGCTACCTTACACAATCTCTGCCACCTATCAGAAAGCCACATACTCCCTCCACTTCAGGTTAGTTTAAGGGAGAAGCAAAGATTCAACTGTATTAAGTTCAGTGACTTTGGGCAAAGCAGCTTTGTAATTTTATGGGCACATGACACTTGTCTCCAACTTAAAGTATATTTACTAGGCTCATTATTAAAACTGGGCTCTTTATGACCCTGAATATATGGAAGAAATTACTGTCCTGTATCCTGTCATCGAAATAAATAATACATATATATTATTATTTCTCTAGGTTTATCACAGGAAAACATAGGAAGCATTTAGATGCATGAAGTTTAGAGAATGCTTATTTTTTAAAAAATAATAACATATCTAATTATTTAAGATAAAGTTCAGTAAATCTAAGTTGATATACCATAGAGCATTCTGTTTTACAAATTAGCATTAAAAGCCTCTCTGGCATTTCTCTTTTGCTTGTATTATTTATTTTTCAAATACGGTGGCAATTGTATTTTATGTACCTGTGTGTATGCTTTGTTCACTTAAGAAGCTCCTATTCTTTGGAACTCTACATTCAGATGTGTATATCTTTCCTTTTCTTCTTTGCCTTTTGCTCTTAGTCACTCAGTCATGTCCAACTCTTTGTGACCCATTGGACTGTAGCCTGCCAAGCTCCTCAGTCCATGGGATTCCCCAGGCAGCAATACTGAGTGGGTTGCCATGCCCTCCTCCAGGGGATCTTCCAGACCCAGGAACTGAACCCACATCTCCTGTGTCTCCTGTATTGCAGGCAGATTCTTTACCTGCTGAGTTGTTGGGGAAGCCCTATTTATGTATTCTTGGGACTTAAATCTCTGTGCAGATAATATTTGAAAAATATTATATTATATATATCAAAAATATCACAGATAATATTTGAAAAATCCTGAATAATAAAACGTGCTATGCGGTGTATGTAAGAGAAGTAAACTTTTCAGTCATGGAAAAATTTTTATCCAAAACGTAACTTTTAAATGAGGACCTCAAGCTACTAAGTCTTTGGAGTTGGCTGATTATAGTCTCAGTGATATGTGCCCAAGAGGGAGCTAGAGACCGTCACATCACTTAGCCTCTCTGTGCCCCGTTTTCTCAGTGCCTATCTCAAGTCACTGTTGTGACATGAGCATTACATATCATAATTTTTCTTAACTTCCTTGATACACATGATATCAATTCAGTTGAGTCGCTCAGTCATGTCTGACCCTTTACAACCCCATGGACTGCAGCATGCTAGGCTTCCCTGTCCATCACCAACTTCCAGAGCTTACTCAAACTCACGTCCAGCAAGTCAGTGATACCATACAACCATCTCATCCTCTGTCATCCCCTTTTCCTACTTCAATCTTTCCCAGCATCAGGGTCTTTTCCAATGAGTCAGCGATTCGCATCAGGTGGCCAAAGTATTGGAGTTTCAGCTTCAGCATTAGTCCTTCCAATGAGTATTCAGGACTGATTTCCATTAGGATTGACTGGTTGGATCTCCTTGCAGTCCAAGGGGCTCTCAAGAGTCTCATCCAACACCACAGTTCAAAAGCATCAATTCTTCAGTGTTCAGCTTTCTTTATAGTCCAATTATCACATCCGTGCATGACTACTGGAAAAACCATAGCTTTGACTAGTGCAACAAGAGACCGACCCAGACTTGCCTGTGAGTGTCCAGGAGTCTCCAGAGGAGGTGTAGTCGGCAGTGGCCTGCTGCATGGTTGGGGGCACTGAAAGCAGCAAGGTGTGCATGGGACCTTTTGAAGGAGATCACCATTATCTTCATTACCTCCACTATAGTTTGGCCTCAGGTCAAACAACAGGGAGGGAACACAGTCCTGCCCATCAACAGAAAATTGGATTAAAGATTTACTAAGCATGGCCCTGCCCATCAGAACAAGACCCAGTATTCCCCTTGGTCAGTCTCCCCCTTCAGCCTTGTCTAACTCAGTGAAACTAGGAGTCATGTCATGTAGGGCCGCCCAAGATAAATGGGTCATGGTGAAGCATTCTGACAAAACGTGGTCCACTGGAGAAGGGAATGGCAAACCACTTCAGTATTCTTGCATTGAGAACCCCGTGAACAGTATGACAGACAAAAAGATAGGATATTGAAAGGTGAACTCCCCAGGATGGTAGGTGCTCAATGTGCTACTGGAAATCCATGGAGAAATAACTCCAAAAAGAATGAAGAGATGGCACAAAAGCAAAAAGAGCACCAATTGTGAATGTGACTGGTGATGGAGCTGAAGTCCGATGCTGTAAAGAGCAGTATTGCATAGGAACCTGGAATGTCAGGTCCATGATTCAAAGCAAATTGGAAGTGGTCAAACAGGAAATGGCAAGAGTGAACATTGACATTTTAGGAATCAGCAAACCAAAATAAACTGGAATGGTTGAATTTAACTCAGATGACCATTATATCTACTACTGTGGGCAAGAATCCCTTAGAATAAATAGAATAGCCACCGTAGTCAACAAAAGAGTCTGGAATGCAGTACTTGGGTTCAATCTCAAAGACAGAATGATCTCTGTTCGTTTCCAAAGCAAACCATTCAATATCACAGTAATCCAAGTCTATGCCCCAACCAGTAATGCTGAAGAAGCTTAAGTTGAACAGTTCTGTGAAGACCTACAAGGCCTTCTAGGACCCACACCCTAAAAAGATGTCCTTTTCATTATAGGGGACTGGAATGCAAAAGTAGGAAGCCAAAAGATACCTGGAGTAACAGGCAAATTTGGCCTTGGAGTACAAAATGAAGCAGGGCAATAGAGGCTAATAGAGTTTTGCCAAGAGAAGGTAATGCTCATAGCAAACGCCCTCTTCCAAAAACACAAGAGAAGCCTCTAAACATGGGATGTCATCAGATGGTCAATAGCAAAATCAGATTGATTATATTCTTTGCAGCCAAAGATGGAGAAGCTCTATACAGTCAGCAAAATCAAGACTGGGAGCTGACTGTGGCTCAGATCATGAACTCCTTGTCAAATTCAGACTTAAATTTAAGAAAGTAGGGAAAACCACAAGATCATTCAGGTATGACCTAAATCAAATCCCTTATGATTATACATGTGCATGTATAATGTATACATGGCTGTTCTAATCTACATTTAAAAAAAAATCTTTGCCTTTTCTTTGAAAAGTGTATTTGAATGGTTTTTCCTGAAATCTGTGAAACAGATCCAAGTAAGCAATTTTTAACCTATATCTGGAAAAAAAGCAAAATCGTCCCCAAAATGTCATTTTATTTTTTTTTCCCAGGGAGATTAGATAATGCATACAGTTTTTTATTACATCATGTATGTGGGTATATATGTGTATACATGAATCCAATAGACATATGCACTTCACATACAAAGTATATACTCACTGTGGATTTTAAAAGCCATAGATTTCATTAATTGAGGAGTACAATATTATGAGAATTTACTGATGAAAGATTAAAAAATAATTTACATGTTGGTACTTTTTAAAAATTCTTGAGCATGTGTGCTACATAGTCATTTAGACCCACAGCTTAAGTTTCTGCT